GCGCCCGCTGCGCTGGACGGGCCCAGCCGGTTCGGCTCTCTGCAGACAGCCCCGCTCGGCGCCGCGGTCCTCCCCACATTCCCTGTTCCCAAGACCAGAGTCCCAGGACTGTAAATGATTCCATGTCCCGAAGGGTGGGAAGGGGACCTCTGTCACTCCTCGTGGCCTCATCTTGTCCTTACGGGGTGCTTTGCCTGTATCAATCAGCGATGCTTTTTCTCCCAGTTTCCCTGTTCCCAAGACCAGAGTCCCAGGACTGTAAATGATTCCATGTCCCGAAGGGTGGGAAGGGGACCTCTGTCACTCCTCGTGGCCTCATCTTGTCCTTACGGGGTGCTTTGCCTGTATCAATCAGCGATGCTTTTTCTCCTGCCAAACCGCGCTGTACGCTGATGTCTGCTCTGCCACCAGCCGTCCACCCTGGTCCTGGTCCCTGACGGCGAGCCAGCTGCCCCGTGTCCCCTGGCGCGGACACAGGAGTCGCATTTCCACACGCTCTGCCCCCTCGGGCTGGCTGACACGGCCTTCGGGGAGCGCGGGAGCCTGGCAGGGCTTTCTCAGTAGCTCAGCCTGCTTTGCTTCTCGCGGTCGTTGCTCCAAGATCTCTGATGGGCATAGCCGTGTCTGCCCGCGCCAATGTAAACCGGCGTGGTGGCAAGCGAGGTCGGTGTGAGTCCGTGACAAAGAATTCTGTCCCAAGCGATGAGATTCGCGGTGCGGCGGGCAAGGCGCGGCGGCTGGGTGGGGAGGCGAGGTGGGATGTCACTTGTGTCGCGTTGTCTCCGGTGCAGGTACAGTTCCATGAAAGACTATCTCTCTGAGCTGGACAAAGAGACAAAAAAAGCTTTGGAGACTTTCTACGGATTTTCAGAGGGCAAGTCCAAGGTGCGCCGGTCGGTGGAGGAGTGGAACAGCACAGGGAGCGACCTCTTCAAACAGATCCCTCTGCTGAAGTTCGAGGACTTCTCCAAGACAGCGACCGACCTTCGCAGCGGCCAGAAGAGGAGAGTCGAGGGCAGTGTCTTTCACAAGGACTCGTCCATAGTGAACTCTGGGGATTCAAATGATATCATCGGCTTTCAGCTGGTGAGTGTCACTCTTCCGTGGCCAGCGAGTTCCTTGTGGGGCAATGACGGGGTGTTTTGGGTTGGTATCGCTCTGGCCAGTTTTACTGCTTGCTTAGGTGGCTTTATGGTGAAATAACACTCCCTCTGCTCTCTTGCCCGTTCTGCCATGCCTCTGTGGCTGCCTGCAGATTCACCTCCAGCTCTCTGGAAGAGAAATGCCTTCCTGAAATCTGCCCAAATAGACTCAGTGCCTTCCGTGACCCGTCCTTTGGGCCTGAAGCGTTTGATCCTATCACTCAGCCCTGAATGATGGGGCTTCGATGCCCTTTTGTCCCCTTTGTGCTGCTTTAACTTCATACGTGGTTATTGCTGTGGAAGAGAAACGGTATCACCCGTACCTTGTAGAATACATAATTTCATTTCATCTGAAATGCTTTTTCCCCTTTGTAATTATCAGTGCGATGCAAACAACAGCAGTGAGTGTGCACTTTATACATTCAGTTCTGGTGTTAATGCTATCCAAGAATGGTACAAGCTGCATTACATGAACATCATGGCACAAATTCCCCTGGAGACTAAAGAAAAATTGAGTTATTCTGCTGATGACCTTCTACTGACATGTTTCTTTGATGGCCTATCTTGTGACAAAAGGTCAGTGCACAGACAATACCTGCCAGCTTAACAGCTTATTTCCAAGTGCATAATGCGTAAGAGTTGAATATTTGGTATTTGCTGAATTCCAGCAGGAACCACTTTCATTTTTAAATGAAGGCAAACATTCATGTCTTCATGAACTTTACTTAATGCTCTTTAGTTTGTCGTAGTGTTCTGCCGTCCGCATTTCAGATTAACCCATGTTTTTTGGCAGAATCAAATCTCCCTGCTTACAGTTGTGGCAGTGCAATTCTTGTGTGTCCTGGTAGCCAGCGAGTCGCCCCTTCGTACTGGGGACAGCGGCAGAGTTCCCCCGCGCAGTTGCGGGGACGAGATTACACGCGATGGTTTCAGGCGTTTCCCCGCTGCCGTGCGTGGTGCAAGCTGCGCGGTGACTCTGGGTAACCAGGGCACTTTGCTGGCGTCTGTAGCCCTGCAAACGGAGAACTTTTCTTGGGATGAAGGCGTTTGCTTGGGTGGGAGGGGATGAGCACAGGAAAGACACGAACGGGCTTGAGTCAGGGGGTGTGTCCTCGGCCTCCCCTCCGTGGCAGCGGCTGCGGCATCTTTCTGAAACGTGAAGATTCGCGCTCCTTCAGGCACTCGGCTGTCAAACGAAAGAGGACTCGGTCCCCCCGGCCGCCACCTTCCTGCTAGTTCTGTAGATCCGCTTCCCCCACCCGCTCGGCTCCCGTTCCCCCATGAAAACCTCCTGAACTTTTGATTTCTTGATGCCATTAAACCAGATCATACTTCCATGTAGTTTCAGGACGTTAAGAAAAAGACCCACACTTTTCAGCAGAATAAATTGCTTGCCAAAAAAGAAAGAAACATCTCGTCCTGCTATGTCTCTGCCAAAACAAAAAGCCCAGATCTGCCGATTTGCTGCCCCAGACGGTTACAACTGCAGAGGGCAACGTAGCAATACTCGATCTCTTCCAGGCACTTCACTCGTTTCCACCATCCCCTGCATGGCAATTGCTATACCTTCAACAGCGGGGAGAACGGGACGGTCCTGAGCACCTCCACCGCCGGCAGCGAGTACGGTAAGGGGAGCGGGTCCGCAGAGGAGCCACTCGATAACGAGCGGCTCAGCGAGCTGGATCCTGCTGGAGGGTGATTGATGTGTTGGCTCTAGATGTGCAGGCTGATTGGGGAAATGCTTGTTTGAACTAGTGCAAACTGTTGCCAGAGAATACAAAGATAATATCGTTGCATCACTAATGTTTTCCATCTGAAATCACTGCTTCCCAGTTATATAACTCTTTAAAGTAAGTCTCAGCCACGTTCTGCGAGACGTTTTTTGTTTGCGGTACCTGGGGCCGCGGAGGGACGTTACTTGCTGCAGGCGTCTCAGCCCAGCACTGCGAAGGCTTTGCTTGGTTGTTACAGTTCTGCTTCAGGCTGGTGTCATTAACTAAACTGTGCTGCCCTCCCTGACCTGACCAGAAAAAATGTCTCTGGCCTCTGGCGTAACTCCGCTCCTGCCTTGTCCCTGCTCCTCAGGACTGCAGGTTGTGCTGTTCATAGACGAAGCAGACTACAACCCCTTCCTGGTGACATCCACGGGAGCCAAGATCATTGTCCACGACCAGAACGAATATCCCTTCATTGAAGACATCGGCACAGAAATTGAGACTGCAGCGGTCACCTCCATAGGGATGCACTTTGTGAGTGGCAGCAGGCTGGTGTCCAGGCGCACGGCACCGTTTCCTTGAAAGAGATGTAAATATGAACCGATACGGTCTTTGAACGGAGCCAGCAGCTGGAAGGCGTCTAGTACCTCACGCCTGAGCAGCTGAAGTGCCCCGAGGAAAATCCTGTGATAGCACTTCTCTGAACAAAGTTTTCCTTTGCGTAGAGGCTGCTGGAAAACCAGGTCTTTATAGAACAAACAGCTACTGGGATTTTGTTTGTTCTCCCTTTTCTCCCACCCCTTGCCTTTCCAGGGGATTTTTTTGTTTTGTTTTCACAGCAAAATCCACAACCACAAAAATGTGTGGTCAAGTGCCCCGTTTCGCTGTAGCGATAAGCGGACGCGTTCGCATCCCACGCAGGTTCCAGGGGCGGAAGAGAATGAGCTCGAGCTGTGGGTAACCCACGTTAGGGTCAGGTCTGTAGGGCTGGCTGCAGCGCAGGCGGTTTAACTGTTCTGCGGGTGCAAGTCTCGTTTTGCTGGGTTTCTTGCTATCCCACCTGTAAAGAAAACCTCGTGGGCAGCGACTGCCTTTGCCAGCTTAGTGAAGGTCTTGCCATTGCTGTCAGCAAGGGCAGGGAGGGCTGCAGCCCCAGATTTCCCCGATTAGTGTAGTGTAGGCAAGGCATTTGACCCAAGGGGCTTCTTTCCGCGGTAGACAAGTGAAAGCAGTGCCATCAGCCAAGCCAGACTTTCCCCTTTCATCTGGAGGGCTGCTGAGTGAGCATTTTAGTTCTGCCTTTTCTTCACTGATGGCTGGGTCAGATGCATCAGCCAGCCTGCTTATCTGTCCTGGCTGGGCGTGCCAGATGGAGATAGTCCACGCATTAGAAAAGACATTACAAACAGGGCTGAGTGTCTGAAAATGCGCAGACAGTTAACTATCTTCCAGTCGTCTGGAAGACTGTGGGGCAGCTGCTTGGTTAACAGTGGGAATAAGCGCTGCCTGAACACCAAGAAGTGAATAGGAGGAATCGGAACCAGAATGGTGGGAAGGAGGCAAAGCCTCACAAGACTGTTTGCTTTGTAGCTATTACGCTGTACAGGAGAAAGTCACTGCAGACAGTCTCGCTACTTAATGTAGTATTTTCCCAGCACAGTAGATTCGGGCTGTTGCACATAGTATGAAAAACAAGACTGAACGCATCTCGGTGGCTGTGCTGAACAGATGTGGCAGGAGGAAGCGAGCTGATTGCATCCTACTGTAACAGCCGCAGTAGCAGCTGGACTCAAAACAAAAGCTGCTGCCGTCTGCGCTGCCAGTAACGAGGGCTCCAGGGAGCTGCGAGGGGCCAAGCTGCCCGATCCGATCCGCCCTCGCACCCGAATACGCGCAGGGGGACGCAGCGACGGCCACACACGCTGCGGACTGCAGGCGGGAGCGTGGCAGTCACTGTTTTCCAAATGCGAACATCGCTGTCCGGGTTGTTGCTCGTGTATTTCTGCTGTCTGCTGGGACGGCCCCCCCGCCTCCAAAAATATCCCAAGATGTTTGGAATGCAAACAAGGCATTGCCTGGTAGGAGTTTCAGTGCTTTAGTTAAATATTTAGTTTGGAATTATTTCAGAACCTGAAGGAACAAGTAAGCTTTTGTAGGGGTATAAGCCACAACAACAAAAAAAATCTACACAAAGGATCTGTCATCTGTTGGAAGGCAGAGCAGCAGACCGAGGCAGGCGTCCTGCCATTAGACTGTCTGCAGAAGTTAAAAGCATATTAAAAGCTGGTTTCGTTCGGTTTTCAGAAGCAATCCACCTCTAATAGTGAAATCACTGATTTCTGTGTTCCCTCCAAAGAGAGCTTTGGGCAGCTTTTTGAAAGAGCTGCCTTGCCGGCCGTCGGGTGTGACCCCGGTGATCTGCAGATCTGCCCTCGTGCCCGAAAGGCAGGCGGGCATTTATCAGGCTCCTACTAAACTGATCCTTTGCAGGATCAGCCCCTGATTTTAAACTCCTTAGAGAAAGATAGGTGAATGGATTCTTAAATGCATGACATTTCTTGTGGTTTCAGGCCACTTACTTTGTTGTGAAGTGGATAATTACTGCAGAAAGATGGCAAGAGTTGAGGGCTGAGCAGGTGGGGCGTCCGCAGGGAGCGGAGGACGCGGCCCCAGTCGGGTCTGGTGGGTTGCAGGGCCCCGGCCGCGGTTCCAGCAGAGCTGGCAGGCGCAGTGCTTGGCATTGCAGAGCTCTGTCCTCTGGGCAGAGGTCACGGAACAGGAAAAGGCGTCAGCATTCAGCGGCGAGGAGGGGTCAAAGCAGCACCTGGGGAGAGTCCCGAGGGAGACTGAAACATGGGAGTTAGAGTGATTTTAGCGAGGTGCTGGTGAGCGGCAGCGGAGCCTGAAGTGCTGTGTTACCCCCAGAACAGGAGCAGCAAGCGCAGGGACAGCTCGGAAGGTGTGGGTCTTCACAGAAAACAAAACAAAAAAAACCCCAGCCAACAGCCCCCCTTCCCTCCAAACACAAACACGCGTCCAGGAGAAACGATGCGTAGCCTCTAGGACTTCGCAGAGAGAAAACGTACGTGTGAGTCGCTCTGCTTTGAAAAATCCTCACTGTCACGGTTATACAATCTCTGCATTTCTGCAGAGGTTTTCCACAAGCACGGCAGATAATCCAGCCAGAGCAGCGTTTTGGGAAATGGATATTACCAACCAAAAAAACCCCTTGTTTTGACAAGTGACTGACAAATCATTAGAGATGGCAAAAGGCAGACAGGCTGCTCAGACCTGCCCTGTGGCTTACAGCTGCAGAATCGTGGTGAACGGCCACTAAAGCCGTCGGTTTCTCTGTGGGCTCCGAAGGACAGGACGTGTTCTTTTCTGCTTCTCAGACTCGGTCGCGCAAGCTGAGCAAACCCTACAGTGACTGCACGGAGACTGGCGCTGACATCCCAGTAGAAAACCTCTACAACAAGAGCTACTCACTCCAGGTAAATCCGTTACATTGGGGTTTATCAGTTTTTTCTTTTATCGCTTGAAAACGACCTTCATGAACAGCTTTACAATATTCTGTAGTTCGGGTTCTGAGGCTGTGAACAGTCCAGGCGCAGGGTCACTGCTTTTAACCACTGATGTGAAACACCACAGCACTTTAAAAAAATCCAAGTTTTATTCCTAAATGGTTGATGTTTGAAGTTCCCTTAGGCGCCCTGGTAGATAAAGAGAGGACATTAGCTCATTAGGCAATTTTCAAGCAATGTGAGACTGGAAAATATTGGCCAAGTAAATGTTGCAGCTTAGTAACCCTTGAAGCCAGAAATTGTGACCTTTAGGACTCCGAGAATTACAGATACCATCTAATCAGTATCCAGATAGCAGGATGTTTGTTTACAGAGCAAGTTTCCACTAATTTTGCATGGTTTCTGTAATTGGGTCCTCCTGGAGAGTGTCAGATGTTCTGGCACTCCCCGTGTGAGGATTCCTAATTGCATGAGCTGCTGCCTACTCCAACGCCTGTGCCTAGGCTGGATTTTTGTTTTATGGGGTGTTACACCTGAACCCTGCTGTGATGTATTGCCAGGTGGGATCACACAGACATTATCTCATGTTTTTAATAACAGTACTTCGCTGAAACTCAGGGCTTAGGAGGGCTGGGACTGGGACCAAAAGGGTTGACAACTAGGATTTCAGGAAGAGAGGTTCCGTTCCTGCTTGTCCCAACTGACGAAGCGTTTTAGCACAGAACACTGACTCCACTGCCCTGTTAATCCGCACAACTTCAGGGTGCCCAATAGGCACCGACAATTTGGCCAAAGCTGTGAACGTTTTCACCAGTGAGTCACTTCCCACGCCTGCATGTTGGTGCAGGGACCACGTGTCCTGCCAGCCCGAAAACCTTCTCCTTCCTCGCCTGTGGAAAGGAGCAACTGCAACGCTGAAGCTTTCAGCTGTAGGGGGGTGGGAGCATTCACACATTTCCCCCTCGGAGAGGATTGTGTTCTTCTTTCTGGCATTAGAGCCTAAACCCTCCACGGCCCTTTCTGCCCGAGGTGCCATTCTCTAGTAACAGCCCACGGGCCCGGGGAGACGGGGTCCCCACCTTACTGCTGCTGGCAGAAACAGAGGCTGGTTTCAGGTCACGCGAGCCCGACGCTGCAGAAGCACGGCAGCCCGTGCTTCTTAGAGCCCAGCTCTTGGTTTATCTCCCGCAGATCTGCCTGCACTCCTGCTTTCAGAAGGCCATGGTGGACTCGTGTGGCTGCGCCCAGTACGCGCAGCCCTTACCTGCTGGGGCAGAATACTGCAACTACAAGAAAAACCCCAACTGGAGTAAGTGTTCGGACGCGTCCCGCATCGCATTGCTCGACCGCCCACTGCCAGTGCTGCTGCAGTTCAGATCGGCTGTGTCTGACAGTTTGCTCGTCATCGGCGCACGCTGCAGAGGTGTCGAGCGGAGGGCTTGGCCGGGCGAGGCAGTTGTTTGTGCCTATAGCAAGTGACAAGCACTTCTCACAGTATTTTGCAATAGTTATTGGGTAAATCTTTTTACCCCCACCACGCAGGTGATGGCCACAAAGGCCACCTGCGCCCCAGAAGCCCCACTCCGGCACAGGTAGCAGAAGATCATTGCTTTGCCTTCCTGCTTCTCATGCACCCTGCTCCCTCCTTGCAGTGTACTGCTACTACAGACTGCACGAGAAGTTCGTGAAGGAGCAGCTGGGCTGCCAGCAAATCTGCAAAGACGCCTGCAGGTAAGCCCTGCCACGGCCGGAGGTGAAACGCTGCGTGTGCGCGGGAGCTGGGGCTCTCAGCTCACCGCCTGCCTCTCTCCCCAGCTTCAAGGAGTGGGCGCTCACCACCAGCATCGCCCAGTGGCCGTCCGCCGTGTCCGAGGTTGGTTCCCAACTGCGCTCCGCCGTGACAGCAGCGCGGCGTTTAACAAACGCAGAGCTTCAGCGCGGAAGCGGGGGGCCCCTGGGGTGTTTGTTAGCACTTCCACGATGCTCGTCCCAGAGGCTCAGCCTGTGGCGTCCAGGTCAGGTCTCCCCCTCCGGGAGTTCACCATGATGAAGCTGCAGCTTGGCCTGCGGGCTGGGAGATTGCCCTGGGGACAGCTGGCCCATCGCACGCATTCAGTTCTGGCACCCAGGCTGGCCCAAGGAGGTGTGGAGCTGAGCGCCCTTTCCAGGGCATTTCTACACAAATGCACGCAGCTATAGCAGTATTTTCCATCTTTTTTCCAGGACTGGATGCTCCGTGTCCTCTCTTGGGACAAAGGGCAAAAAATCAACAAGAAGCTGAACAAGTAAGTCTCCATGTGTGTGTTTCTAGCTTGCACCTCAAGCTCAGATATAATCGCAGCAGCCCTAATGATGGCAATTGGGGAAAAAGCTCCCTTAGAGCCGCCCAGTCCTACTGGTCCAACTGGTTATTTGCATAGTTTTTCAGTACGCTTCATGTTATTGTTTTACTGAACCCTCAGCCTGCCTTCTGTTTCTCCTCGCAGGACGGACCTCGCAAACCTCATGGTGTTTTACAAAGACCTGAACGAGAGATTCATTTCAGAGAATCCTGCCAACACCGTAAGCGAGCGCAGCGGTTCCCCGCTCAGCCCCGGCTCTCCTTTCGTCTGGCCGGGCAGTGGTCCCATCCAGGCAGTGGTCCCATCCAGCCCAGGGCACAAACCGTCCACGGACGATGCACCCCGGGGCGCCCGGTCCTGCCCTTCGCGATGCTTTTACCCGCGGCCGCTTTCCAACCCGTCCGTCCCAAGCCCTGTGCTGGGGTAGCCCGGGGGCTGCAGCAGCGCAGGAGGAGAGGGTGACGCAGGCAGGGAAGGGCCCACCGCGTTGGGGAGCGCTCACAGCAAAAAGTTTGTTGATTTTCAGTGTGGTAGAAATGAACACGGAGTGTGAAGAGCTGCAGAAGAATATAACCTTGTTCTCTCCTCTCTTCCAGCTCGTCATTCTGCTTTCCAACTTCGGAGGCCAGCTGGGCCTTTGGATGAGCTGCTCAGTCGTTTGCGTCATTGAGATCGTCGAGGTCTTCTTCATCGACTCGCTCTCCATCGTCATGCGGCGCCAGTGGCAGAAGGCGAAGAGGTGGTGGAACCACCGACAGCAGGAGCGGTTGGGGAAGCCCCCCCAGGCT